TTGCTTGATATAGCTTCAACATTGGGCAGGCTCAACCAATACAACTTCAATGAAACAGACACATCACTTCCTGAACTGGAGAGGCTGATATTGGAATTTTTCTCGTTGAAGGGTAACCTGACAATTCCTCTCTCTAACATCATGAGGTACAGTCTGCTAAACTATACTGGCTACTTCAACCCCAACTATGTGGCCAATCTCACAGAAGCCATCCAACCTTTCACCAACCAGACCACAGCTAGTATTATAGAAGCCATCCTCAGAGCCACTGAACTTCTAAAGACACTGACAGATTCTCCAAATGGTGACCCAACTAACATCATTCTTGGGTACTTGCACCAGATTCAACAGTTCATGATTTCTGCTTTCAGACTACAGTCAGTTGAATATCTCCTGATGCCAAAAGAACAGCTGAATACAACCCAAGTCACTGATCTCCACATGGTTTTGATGAACGTTCTCAGCCTATTGACTCCTGAGAGCCTTCAGGTGCTAACTCAGTCTGGACCAGATGCTGCCCAAAACATTGTCATTCAGAAGTTTGTAGCACTACTACCATCTGGTGTGCAAGGAGATGCTGCTAGCTTTGTTCAAGATTTTAAAGCTCTGCAGAACCAGGTGGCTAATTGCACAGAAGAAACAGGACAGAACTGTCTGCAGGGAATTTTACAAATCCCCACAATTCTTTCTCAAATTGTAGAAATGATGCTTGCAACCAATGGCGGGGTCACTATTCAAATATCTCCAAATAATTCAGCTGCCTGGAGTCAGGAATATGAAGTCCTTACAGCTACCTTCTTCTCACTCCTCTTGCCAACAAATGATACTGCCTATGTAGAAACAATCAAACAGGCTCTTCATTTCCTCCGGTTAGTGACAAATATGACAGATGTTACGGGGTCCAGTGTTGAGAATGCTTTGCTGGAATCAAATCTAACCATTCACCAGCTGGATGAAATTGTTGCTGTAGTTGGAGCTGCCAACATGAATGATCTGATGACAAAAGTGATGAGGATTGTTGATGCAAATGAGTGTTTTAAACCTCAAAACACCATGGTGGAAACAAGTCAGTGTGTCATGGGACTAATAAATGATATCAGCGGCTTTCTGACCCAACTTCCTACTCTCCATAATGACACCACAGCCCTGTCTTTGATCCCAGTAATTGCCAATAAAACTACCAGTGAACTCATACAGGCAAACTTCAGTTCCAGTGCTAATATGGTGGTTGTACAAACTTTGGAAACTATATTGGCCAATATCAAGATGAGCCTCCAGCTAAACCAACTGAACACTCCAGAAATCATGAATGAAATCACAGTGGTGGAGCAGCTGATATGGCTGGTCACCAACTTGGAACCATTTTGCCAAACCAAACCAAACCAAAACCTCACAGGCCCTGCTCTTATAGTACCACTCATTACCACCTTATTAGAGTCAGCAGGTCTGAAGCCACTCCTCCCCCTGTTCAACAGTGATGGTCCATTTAACACCTCCACATTGCTTGATATAGCTTCAACATTGGGCAGGCTCAACCAATACAACTTTACCTTCAATGAAACAGACTCATCACTTCCTGAACTGGAGAGGTTGATATTGGAATTTTTCTCAGTGGAGGGTAACCTGACAATTCCTCTCTCTAACATCATGGGGTACAGTCTGCTAAACTATACTGGCTACTTCACCCCTGAATATGTGGCCAGTCTCACAGAAGCCATCCAACCTTTCACCAATCAGACCACAGCTGGTATTGTAGAAGCCATCCTCAGAGCTATTGGACTTCTAAAAACACTGACAGATTCTCCAAATGGTGACCCAACTAACATCATTCTTGGGTACTTGCAACAGCTTCAAGAGTTCATGATTTCTGCTTTTAGACTGCAGTCAGTTGAATATCTCCTGATGCCAAATGGGCAGCTGAATACAACCCAAGTCACTGATCTCCACATGGTTTTGATGAACGTTCTCAGCCTATTCACACCTGAGAGCCTTCAGGTGCTAACTCAGTCTGGACCAGATGCTGCCCAAAACATTGTCATTCAGAAGTTTGTAGCACTACTACCATCGGGTGTGCAAGGAGATGCTGCTAGCTTTTTCCAGGATTTCAAAGCTCTGCAGAACCAGGTGGCTAATTGCACAGAAGAAACAGGACAGAACTGTCTGCAGGGAATTTTAGAAATCCCCACAATTCTTTCTCAAATTGTAGAAATGATGCTTGCAACCAATGGCGGGGTAACTATTCAAATATCTCCAAATAATTCAGCTGCCTGGAGTCAGGAATATGAAGTAATTACAACTACCTTCTTCTCACTTCTCTTGTCACCAAATGATACTGCCTATGTAGAAACAATCAAACAGGCTCTTCATTTCCTCCGGTTAGTGACAAATTTGACAGATGTTACAGGGTCCAGTGTTGAGAGTGCTTTGCTGGAATCAAATTTAACCATTCACCAGCTGGATGAAATTGTTGTTGTGGTTGGAGCTGCCAACATAAATGATCTGATGACAAAAGCGATGAGGATTGTTGATGCAAGTGAGTGTTTTAAACCTCAAAACACCATGGTGGAAACAAGTCAGTGTGCCATGGGACTAATAAATGATATCAGTGGCTTTCTGACCCAACTTCCTACTTTCTGTAATGACACTGCAGCCCTTTCTTTGATCCCAGTAATTGCCGATAAAACTACCAGTGAACTCATACAGGCAAACTTCAGTTCTAGTGCTAATATGGTTGTTGCACAAACTTTGGAAACCATCTTGGCCAATATCAAGCTGAGCCTCCAGCTTAACCAACTGAACACTCCAGAAATCATGAATGAAATCACAGTGGTGGAACAACTGATATGGCTGGTCACCAACTTGGAACCATTTTACTCATTTAATACCACCTTGATCAATGATCCAATGCATGCCCAGAAAGTTTCTCTGGAGCTTGTGGAGTGGTACTTGGAAAGGTTGGAAAATGCCACCAGCAGCAGTTCTATCTCAGAACTCTTTCAGCCCTTTTTTTACCTCACCCAAATGCAAGTGGCATTCCAGTTGTCTCAGACAGAACTCTCTGCATTTGTCATTAACAAGACTGAGTTCCTGATTAACATGCTCCAGTACCCAATAGATGGCACAGGCATGAACACAATCGTGAAGACAACACATGAGCTTCTTCTGCATTTATTGGACTGCCTTGATAATATCATAGAGCTGCAGAATAACAATCAAAGTCTGCAGCTGTTTAACACAAGTGCTCTGTATTTCACTGAGCTTCAAATCAAATTCTACCTCCAACTTACAGAAAAGTGGATTGAACAGCCTACTGTTCAAATGCTCCTAACAAGTATGTTCCAATGGGGAAACTCCTCTACAATTACATCCAGCATAGAAACAGACTTGAATAGTTTGCTGAATGTGACGGCTAATTTTCTCACGGATGAGCAAAAGACCTACCTTCTCACGATAACCAATATCACACAGTCTCTCAGTGAAGCCATAACCAGGGCAGAACAACCTGGTGGTTTACAGAGTGAACACTTTGTCGCTGCCCTCATGGGAGCAGTCCACAGTGGACTGCAGATTTCAAACCTGCTGCCCAATGTAACACAGGACTCTCTGGAAACTGTGCAAGATTCACTAACACTCCTTTTGAGCCAAAACATTAGTTTTGCCCAACCATCTAACACCACGTTACTCATCCTGGAGAGAGTTGAGAGGCTTATTCAACAAACAACACCACCATGTGTTGCCGAATATGTTCCTTCCTTTGGCAAATTAATTACTACATACTTTGAAAGCACTAAAAGCAGTGGGCCAAACCAGTGGGATCAAATGTGAGTAACAAGGTTATTTATTGCTAATCTTTCACTAAATAAAATTGGTACAAAACTAGTTTTTCCATAGGACTTGAAGGGCAATAAGTGGATAAAACTTTTTTAATTTTAGATGAAGCAAAAAAAAAAATCCACTGATTTTACTACATTTTAGCTCCACAATGCACCATTTTACCACATAGATTTATAGTTTGACTTTCAACTTCACATAGAAATATCTCTTATTGATCTTTTTACCTTCTACATATTGTCTTAAACACAGCACACTCAGCCTATACTATACGTGAGGATTTTTTCCCCACAAAACTGTTTATTTTAGTGCTCTATACATATGTGCAGAAATTGGGTTCAAAAATTACATTCTTATCCTTTGTTCTGTGTAATTTAAACAAAATATGTGCAGAAGACTTTTCTGTTTTGCTGAGAAAACGTGCTAATGTTTAGACTCCGAGTTTTGAAATTCTGTTCTGCTTTGTTTTTAAGAATTTTGAATGAGATGAGGACAATCCAGAGCCTCCTGCCACCAAACAGCACAGAACAGTCCTTCATCGCCACCTTCATTAACCTCAGTAAATTCATCTTGCAGTCTATTCAAGGCAAGTTGAAGTCTCCCTGCTACTGTAGGGGGACAACATGTTGAATTTTGATCTGATAAAGCAGAAGTAGTTTTATTTGTAACGTTAGGTGCATGGTTGTGTTTGCAGGTTTGTTATTTGTGTTCCAATCCTTGTGTATTCTAAACATATTTCATGATTACAGGAAACATGACACTCCAGGGAGGTTTGAAAGGAACATCAGTTGAAACAAGCTCGGAAATTATAGGCCAGGTAAACTTTATTCCCAATTGAAAATATGTGCATGTTTTAAAATGTTCTATTAGTAAGAAAATAAAAATTATAATCAATATATATAATTAGGACAAAAATATGCATTATCAATTAATCTCAAAACACAATTTATTTTTTTATATTTATACGTAAATGTAAAAATAAGTCAGAGTTACTGTAGTTGGAATTGTGCTTTAAATCCTACAAAGAGGATCATTCATCTCCATCTAATTGTTCACTTTTTTGTGATAATCAGCTTGGCAGGTTTTTGATCGGGTCTATCCAACTTTATATTGGTGGCTCCGGCTCCGGTACTGGTTTTACATATCTTGTTCCAGTTTTGGAACAGGTGATGACTGGGAGTGCTGACCAAGGAACATGGAACCAGTAAGTCCAACCATCAAATATAATGTGAACAAATCAAACAAGTAATGACTGGGAGCTGTTGTACAGTTTGTTAAAAGTATTTCTCATTAAATTTAGCTTATACCATTTTTTAAATATAAATACTGATGTTTATTTTTGGAATTGCCATGAACAAAATGCATTGTGTGTTTTTCTTAATTTTTTTTTTTACAGCTTTGAGCAGATTCTGGTAGATCTACTGTCACCGCTTGGAGGAAAAGAAGAATGGAACGGCACCTCTTCTGTTTTGCCTCAGATCGAACAATTCACAGAAACCATAGTGAAGAACGTGCAAGCACAGAACGGTGAGAACACAGCTGAACAACAAGAACACTAAAATGTTGTCTTAAAGCAGAAACTCTGTTCAATAAACCAGAATAATCAGATTTACACAGCAGAAAGGATTAGGACACGCAGGAATGCATGCCATAGTTTGAAAAGAAGGAAGCACATTGCTGCCCCAAGGCCCTCTTGTGCATTATTCACAAAAATTAAGTAGGCATTTCTGTTTAATAACTTAATCTATTCTGGCAATTTTCATTATATTAGGGTTTTGTAGTTTTTGCACACATTTGCTGCAGGACAAACAACAAAAAACACAACAATAATTTAAACTAAGAATGTTTCTGCCAAGTGAGAAACAAGCAGAAATCATTCCACAATGTGCTTTTTGTCATTTGTGTTATAAGTTAAAAAGTGCGTACAAGGAAAGTCAATAAATGTACATTTAAACTCAGCCTCATTGAAACTATTTTAAATTCATTTGTGCATAATACTCTACAAAACAAGTTTTAAATGAGAGTTGGAACAATTTTTGTGTAGATGTTCCAAAAGAAGGTGAAGTATAGACACTTTGTATCTCCTGCCAGGTCATCTGTGGAGTTTTAGGTATTATTTCTTGCAAAACTGCTTCATCTTAGATCACAGTTTGACTGAGCAGTCAGATTTTTGGCTATCCAGTTATGGTTCCAAACCTATTACTTTTTAGGATATCATTTTGGACAGTTTCAAATTACATTGCAGGATATCCGACCTTTTGATCGAGAAGGTGGTGGTGAGAAGTTCTCACCATCAGCCTTTGGTGGTGAAAAAGTTGATAGAAGAAAAAAGAGTAACATTTATACACTTTGAGAAAACTATCTCAGTGTTTATCAGTACAGTTAACACAATACTGCCAGCCATTATCAGAAAACTGGTTTAAACCAGAAACATTCAGTCAGTTGTGTCAGTAAAAACATACCATCAGACGTTCTTTTCCATGACATCTAATATATCACCACTGCATATGTTCTAATAGATAAAAACTACACAAAAATTAGTTTTCCTTTATCGTATGGAGGTAGCCTATTGTATTTGTGCATAGAGTTCTTTGAAACATAAGTCTGTAATGTAATAAACGTGGAAAAGAAATGTGGACTAGTCTGAAAACTCTTTCAGTGTATCGTGTTACACTACAGCTTTTATCCTTCCTGTAACTTGTATCAGTAATTCATGCTGGTATGTCCCTCTGTTGTCTTCTTTCCAGTGTTAATACAAAGCCTTCAGACACCCGTGTTGGCCCTATTGAGAGATATTGTAACATCTGCGAACACCACCCATTTCAATCTGTCAGAGTTCACAGGGGGACTGCAGCTCGCCATTGGAAGTACACTTCAAGCAGCTCAGCAGGTTTGCCATGTTCTCTCAACACTGGAATTTGCATGCGTTTGCGTTTTTGACGGTCATTCGGTTGCACTCATCAAGTTTTTGTACCTTTTGTGTTCATGTTTTAAAGATTATTCCATCAGTTGTCATGCATTATTGCATTTAACAAATGTTGCTTCTCATCTTTCTCAGCACAATTTTTATAATGCTTCATTTTTCAGACATTTCCGAACACATAATATTTGCAGAAAAACAGTTTGTTCTTTGCGTCTGTCAATTCCGTCAGCCTATAGAGGCATTCGCACATTTGTTTACATTTTCAACAAGTTTTGAGAAAGAGCATCGTCACACCAGCAGATAATTCATGAGGGCATGACTTCATAGGACAACTCTTTGTATTATTATCAGGATGATCACTAGGTGTTGACAGCATGCTTCTTCAACAGCTTTTCACGCAACAGGTGTTAAAATGTTCCTTTGCTCGTACCGATAATCATCTAGAGTTAAAAAGTTGACTTCTTTAAAAGAAAAGTGCACTCAGCAAACATGAAACTTTAGCATACCTTTGTTTTACACTACACACAAATGATTTGCAATTGTTGTTACAAAAAGTACAAGTCAGATTTAATTTTAACCACTCAATATAACTCAGGTAGTTTATCCAGCTTAACATAAAGTGTTCTATCAAAGTTCATGCTCAATAATCCAGGTAAAAAAATCCAACAAAGTTCAGTCATGTCATCTGAACGGTTTCTTTCTTCTTTTTTTTTTTTGGTTGAGAAGTTTCGTCCTTCATCCAAAGGACTTCATCAGTCCAAGGAGTCACAACAAACTCAGTCCCACAAGCAACACAATCACATAGTGTGAACACAGTATGTGGTTCTCACATAGTGTGCTGCTTGTGCTTGGCCCATTATGTGAGTGTGCTGATTGTGTGACTGAGTTCATTGTGGCTCCTTGGACTGACAAAGTCCTTTGAATGAAGGACGAAACTTCTCAACAAAAACAACAACAACAACAACAAAAAAAGAAACCGTCCAGATGAACTGACTGAAATTTGCTGGATTTTTTTGCCTGTATTATTGAACATGAACTTTGATGTTTTGAACCACTTTGGCTATGGGTGCCTCAGAGGAGTCACTGGGGGAGAGGGAGGGCCCCAGAGACCATCTTATTACTAGTAAACTGGTTGGCCCACTATGTGAGACTGAGTTTATTGTGGCTGCTCTGATTGATGAAGTCCTTTGGATGAAGGACAAAACGTCTCAAAAAAAAGAAAGAAACAGTCCAGATGACCTGACTGAACTTTGTTGGATAAAGTATTCTAGTAAAAGAAAAGAGTCAGCCTGTCTTTGCTTGGAGATGCAGATGTCCCTCTGATGCCTTTCTAAAAGACACAAACAAAACAGATCCTGTAAACATGTTATCAAGTTCACCTTTACTGGCTCATTTGGTGTACAGGCACTCAGGTGGTTTTGGATAATTCAGGTCTTGGTTCATTTTCCCAGAAAATAAACAACAGCTTGGCTTCATTAATTATACTCATTTAATTTGCCTTGATTTGTCATTTGAAATGTACACTTACAGCTACTATATTTGTTTCCCACAGATTTTCCATTTATCTGATCAGACTTGAAAAATAGCCAGACTAGATGTTATCTCTGCCATAAAACTACCCAGTTATGCAGAAAAATTAGAGTACTTTGAAGACCTTGTCACTGCCCTCAGATATCTGATTATGCATAAATTGTATGATAATTAAGTGCTTTTGTTCAGTAGATCTGTGGGTGTGCAGCAGTAACAACACTGGCAGAAATAATACCTGTATGAACAATGTCTTATACCCCTTTATTTAATTGTTTAAATTCCACAAGTATCTGAATTAAGATGTGTTACTTACCACACCATATAATTTTGCTTTTTTATTGCTGGTATTGCAAGTATGTGAACTGGTTCATAATATGTGAAACATGATGGTTTTTTTGGGGGTTTTCTTTTTGTCTTTAGATAAATGGCACGTTGGACTGCAACGAGGTGCTCAAAGAATGGGAGCCTGTTCGACAGGCAGCAGGTTTAAACACTTCTGTATTGGCGATGTGGTGCCACATCAGCCTGCAGCCTGCATTGGAGGCTTTTGCTGCAGCTAAGACCAACTACTCAAACCTGAACATAAATGTGAGTAAGATGCATGGCAAATCAGATAGAAAGCTGTAAACCACTGCAAAATGTGTTTAAAAAACACTTGGTGGCAGTGTTGATACACAGAAAAAAAGCTGCCTTTGGCTAACGGTTCATCTCTGTTGAATGTCCTCTGCACAGCACATGGCCATGGAACCAATAGGTGTGAGCGCTGCAGCCGGCAGGATTGTCAAAACAATACAGCTCCTCTATGAAGTCAACATTAACTACACACTTGTGATACAGCAGTCCATCATGACTTTGTCCAACCAGCTCACTGTGCTGACAGGCCAGCCTTTGAGCCCTGAGGCGCAGTCTAACTGGTCCAAGCAGCTCCTGGACATGCAGCTACTGAACAGGTCAGCTATAAATGAACTATATTACTGCTAACACTTACTCTTGTTATAATGACATCACTGAGGAATATGTTTGTGCCAAATCTGGCATTAGATGTTTCTGACAAGAAAATAGAACTTATTTATTTGTCCAAATCTACATTCAGGACATTAGTTATTTATTTTAAAAATAGCATATAGGAAGGAAAACCCATTAGTTGCTAAAAATGCAGAATGTAAATGTCAATATAGCTAACAGTTAAATTTTTTTTTATTTTTTAACAATCATCTCAATAAGAATATAAAGACTTCCTTCCTCTGAAGGAATGAGTGTCTTTTTATATCAGTATTTTAGAGTAAGATCATCATATGTTGACAAAAAGATAGAGTTGTAGCTACTTTGGTTACACTTTATTCTATATGTGAGTGCTGTGAATGGGTCTCGGATACAGCCACATATGTTTTTGGCTTAATATCTGTAAAAATGACAGTTGTAGCTTTCTTTGTTTATTAATTGTGATTGCCATCTTGAATTGAGTTGACTCCAAAAGTGAATCAGTTGTTGATGTTCCACATCCTGCAAATATCATTCATATATATTCATTTGTTTATGAGATATTTTGGTAATACTCATTATAGACAAAACATTATCGTCCGCCTTTTCATTTCAGCAGGGGGCAATAATTCCAGTTCGGTGACACTTCTAAGGATTACAATAGGAAAAAAGTCAACTTCTCCTAAGACTTCATTACATTCCTACACAGACCTAAAGACAAAGCTTCTCCTCCAGCATACATGAACTCAACATGACCTTACCACTCAATTTGCTGTTATCACATTATCCACAATGCACCAGTCAAACCCATTTGATTCATACATAATGACACGAGAAATTGAAGTGATCACATTTGCATTCAGATTGATTAATGTAATGCAGGTCTGCCTGAAAACAGGCAGTCCTGAACAGAAAGTAGCTTAACTCTGGTTCAGCTAACTGAGACGTCATTTTAAAATTGATTTCCCATTTTATGCCAGCTGCAGTAATGAGCCAGGCATAGTGTTAAGGATCATGTTCTGCATATCCCCAGAATCAAACAGGACTAACTATATGACTTATAGATTTTAGTGGAAAGACTTAAGTATCGCATGGTTTGAATGAACATGTAGGGCCAGGAAATGTTTGTATTTGTTTCCAGTTGTGGAAAAAATGGTTGTCATTGGGATCATTACATTAAGGAAATAGATCAACAACATGGGTAAAAATGCAACAAATTAGTTGAAAATCATGTCTTTTTTCCACTTAGACGCGCTTTATGCCATTTAAAATGAAAACAGAAGTTTTTGCATGATGCTTAATCAGAAGAGATAACTATCATTTAATGAATTTCTCTTTTCCACAGTTTGTCTGTTCTTAAACAGTACTCAGATGAGCTGGTTAGAGAAGCTCCTTTCCTTCAGCCCTACACCAATGCTTTTATAAATGCGCTGAGCCACATCCTGAACAACTACCATCTCAGTGAAAACTCGTCCCAGAATGTGTCTGAAGAAGCAGTCCTGGTCTTCCTTAGTTCTGCAAACATCACCTCGGTTGACATCTCCATGACGTGGGGGAATGTTTCTGCCGCCAATGAGACTTTTTTTGCTGACTTAATAAGTGGTGCTTTCCAGCTGGTGATCGAGACAAAGATTTTTGGAGATTTGCCCATTATTTACCAAGGCATGGAACAATTTCTGGCATCCAATGGCACAAACACAGTGGTGGAAAGTTTTTTTGAGATGTTTGTGTGGCTGACCTCAACTGAAGCAACTGCAATGGATCTGCTGAGTCAGGCCCCTCTCAAACTCTATAACATCATCAAGCCTATTGTTTATGTCTTGACTGGATTGTATGTGCCTGAACCAGTGGATCTGGCCCTGTATGAAGACTATGCTGCAAACATTATTTCAGTGTTCAATCAGTTTTCAAGCAACATCAGTCTCAGAAACCAACAAGAAGTCATGTTGCAATCAGAAATGGCAAGTGTTCCACAAGTGAATGGAGTCAGACGAAAACGTGACGTCTCAACGATGCCGATGACCAGACAGCCCATAGATGACATCATTGCTATGTTCTCCATTGACTACTCATCCATATACGGAGCTGCTTTTGTTCCTCCAACCTCAACAGAAGTAATGGAGATAGCCCATGTTTTCTTTGACAATCCACATCTGAATGTTGTGGTTAAAGGGGCTACAAGTGACATGCAGTGGGGTTTAAATGCTTCACGGGAGGATACCATTGATGCTGCCCTCGGGGTGGCTTCTCTCCTCACCCACCCTCAGACGTTAGAGAAGTAAGTGTTGCTTGCTCACATGTATGTTTTTAGATCAAAGTAGAACAATTTGCTTCCTGTGCCTTTCTAAATGATCTCAAACACTGAAACATTTTTTTCTTGCTTGTATACGTGTTGGCCTTTCATAAACATTTTTTTTGTTCCATTACATTTTCCTCAGCCCGTCAATGGACCTTCTGATGAATGCTGTTAACACGCTCCCTAATGACATTCCTTTCTCTTCTGAGATTAAAAATATTGCCAGTGCACTGGCAAATGAGTCTCAAGGTAATTTGAATTGTGTTTTTTCATGTTTTTCCACTTTCCTTCCAAGTGTTATACATGTTTTATGCATTTAAAAGATGCAATGATCTGGAAGTCCATAGAAATCAAGCTTAGCCACAATCAGTTGTCCTAAATTTGCAAAAACATTGTCTTTTGTGTAAATAACCTATCCAAACTCAAATAAAGGATAACTAGCCTACACATACACTGGCATATTATAAAATTGTTGATGACACCTAGTAGTATTACTGCTAGTAGTTGTACTAATATAAGTATCATTTCATTGATCTAATATCCAGTTCCTCACCAACACATTTCATCTTCTGCCCTGTAAAAACAATTACATATTTCTATAAATAGCTAAATTTACACAACAAACAGTTACTTTTTAAATGGTAAATGGACTGCACTTATATAGCTTCTTTTTATCTTATCCAGATGATCAAAGCTCTTTACACTACAATCTGTGCCCTCATTTACTCATTCATACAGCACTCCACTAGATCTCTACAAAGACTAATCAGTGCTTTATCACATTCATACACCGATGGGGCATGCATTGGAGGCAATGAGGAGTTCAGTGTCTTGCCCAGGGACACTTCAGCATGTGACTGCTGGTGGAGTTAAACCCCCATCTCTTGCAATGGAGGATGACCGCTCTAATCACTCAGACACAACTGCCCCTGGTGAAAAAGTGATTGTTGTTGATATAAGACCAACAATCCACATAATAGAGACATGAAGGAGCTGCATCATTAGTTTCCTGTTCTAAAACTTTACCAAGGACTCTGACAAGTGCCTTTTAACAAAAGAACAAATATTTTCCAGTTTAATTACAGTCTGTAGAGCTGACACATGATGCACTGAGCACTTGGCAATCTCAAGTGTTTTTGCAAGCAGAAATGATATCAGTGGTCTAAGTAAACAAATCTGGCAAGCTAGTAACAAGTTAGAAAAACCACTTCTTGTAAAGTCCACGTACATCAGGCAGAAGGTCAACCTACTCTTCGTTTGCTGTACAGAAGCAGCTTAGGGTCACACAAATGACCTATAAGATCCAGGTTTTGCTCTTTTGTAATGAATTCCTTACTGCATATTGTGCAGACCAATGATTATTAAAAAAAGAACTTTTTTTTTTTTTTTTAACCTTCCTTAGAACATCATTTCAGCCTTGTTGCTGCTTGTTGCACTTATATTGCCTTTGGGTTGCAAATGAAACACTGCAAAATGAAAGAATTCAGATTTTATTTAAATGGTAATCAGATTTGTTCAGAATGGCTAATCATTGGAAAATACACCGTAACAGCATAAACCAGTAACTTTTTCATTCCTAGTTAGCATTTGAGGATCAGCGGGTCCTCTTGTCAAACAAACTGAATTTATACATTTGTATAAGATTAAGGTATTATCCCACCTTAGTGTGAGTGTTGGTGACTAGTTGGCTAAGAACATTTGCAAGTAAGTCCTCAGATTGTCTCGTGGTATTCCTGGGGCTTCTCAATTTTCTTGCTGGAGCCACAGAGGCAAATTTTCTTTCAAAATAGTCCCAGGGTTGTCTCTCAAACCCATCTTAGATTTGTTGTGGTGAATGGAAACTTCTCAACAAGTCCCTTCCCAGAGTCCTTCTCCACTTCTGACGCTGGTGTACTGCAGAGTTCATCCTGAAACAGCAGCTAGTGTTTAGATACTCTGTGACACCATGAATGCATAAGTACAGTCAGCCATTAAACAGTCACACAGCTTGGAATGATGCCACCCTGCAATTTATAGCCATTGCAAGACCAAGGGAAGACCATAAACCATTTTGTTATTGCTGTTGTAACTGTAAAGATGATTATAGTGATTCAAATATTCATTTTGGAGATGTGAGGAATAGGACTTCACACCAGCTTAGCTTGAGCTTCCCAAGAGCCCAAAGCCATATGGCCCATCTCCAGCAGAAAGCCTCTCAGCACCTTTTTAAATCTCATTAGCAAAGTAGAATTTAATCACTTATCCTGTCTGCCCTCACTAAACGTCTCCCCTTGCACTCGCACAAGTGGGCATCTATGACCACCTTTTAATTTGCCTCTGTGCTTGCATGATAATGCTTTTAGTGCACAGAATCACTTTGTAAGCAGCTTCGCTTCTCTGCAACCCCACTCACGTTCCATCTCACGCAAACGAACGCTCTACGAACTGTTGTGATTGCAAAGGCCTCTAGGTGTTGAGCAGCCTGAGATTAAACGTTACCATTGTCTAATTTTGGACTAATTAAACATTCTGTCATCCCAGCTTGCCGCCGGAGGTGGTGCCTTTCTTAGGGCTTGTCAAACGTGTTTTAATGCATGACAGCTTCTAGTACAGCTGGCCCTCCTGGCCCCATCAGTCCCGCACAGAGCTTCCCTTCATGCACATCATTTGCTGCTCACGGCTTGATGCCGATAACCTGTAATGGTGCATGTCGTAATGAAGCCCAGTGGGACGCCATGTTATTCTGTCACCTTGCAGACCTAACTTTTTAAGATTCTAGGCTCTAATAGCATCTCTCATAGCTAATTTCTCACCTCTCTGTCTTTCTGTTTCTTCGACCTGTCACAGAGAACCTGATGCTTATGCAGCAAGCCATCCAAACAGCCGCCGGGCTCTTTCAGATCAGCCCATCAAACACAACGTTCGCAGAGCAACTGCAACAACTCAGAAACCAGGTTTGTCTAATAAGCGTGACACTTTCATTTTTAAGGTTTTTACAGTAAAAAAAAAAAAAAAAGGTTACTCAAAAAAGTGAAAACGGAGTAGTGCAACTTTTTAAAATTTGCTTGTATACTATAGAATGTGCCATAATCTGAACAAATCAATGTGCCATGTTTAATATTTAATTGTTAATAACTTAACAACTTAACTTAACTTTAATTGGTGATATGTGACTTATCCATGCTGCTGTATATCTTAGATCTTTTAGCATATCATTTAGTGTATATATTTTAGATCCTTATATACTGTTTCTTTTTATACTTGATTTTTTTGCTATTTTTGTGTGTAACTGGGATCTTGAGTACACAATTTCATTCCACCTCATGCACCACATGTGATGTGAATGACATTAATAATAGCTGCACTTGAACTTAATCTTTAATGATCAAACATGACCTTGTTGTTGTGTTTATATATGATTTGTGTGTTTTAGGTGTGCATAGTGGAGAATTTGGACTCTGTTACTCAGGTGTTGAAAAACGTTTCCATTGTACCTGGGGAGCTCTGTCACACGTTTGTACCCAGCCTGCAGATCTTGGCAGATAATCTTCAGACAAACGAAAACCTTTTTCCAGAAATTGTCTTGCAGGCTGTCATGGGAGACCCCAGGAGCTACAACATCCAGACAAACTGGTAGTTATATGAAATCTATTCAGATGAATCAGAAAGTTATGATCTTTGCAAAGATTGTTCCTTTCGCCACTATCTAGCTCTTTGCTATTTATATTTTCTTAATACAATTTGCTCAGTAGAATTTTTTTACTTACACGATTTGATGGTTTGAAAAATACAACAAACATTTTACTGTGATTTATGTTCATGTTAGATCTTTGCTGTGACCTTTTCTTTCTGTTAAACGACACAAGTAAAACATTACCGTATATTTATTTTTACTAAGGTTGGATTTTCTGTTTGTAATTGAAGGAGCTCTGTGTTCATGAACATTTTTGGCTTGGATCTCAGCAATATGACGACTGCGAACATCACTTATCCAGGTGAGTCCTTCTGTCTTCATATATTTACAGACAAGGTGTAAAAAAAAAACAAGAAAAAAAAAAACAAGAACTGGACTTGTATTTTATTTTTTTTTTACTTCAAGATGTTTTGCTTTTTATGCGCGGAGCTTTCAGCATTTTATGTATTTATTTTTTCACAGGAGTTGTGACATTTGGGGATATGCTGAGGGACAAAGCAGCCTTTCTTCTGACCGCTCAACAACATCTAGGTATCGATCCAGCTGCTCTCCTCCTCCTGATGGACACACCTTTCCCGAACAGCAATGCCGAGGTGAGCCGGGATCTGTTTACACTTTCCGCGTGTGACCTTTCTAGTTTCCTAAGATTCTTGCTACACGGTGTTTCTTAAATGCAACTTTCTTCTACATTTAGGTTTAACAGCACCATTATCAGGAAAGCAACAGAACAAGTAAAGGTTTAATATCTGCTCATGCACTGCTGATTCTTTAGCAAAATGTGCAGGCAAAATTAAATGCAGTATGTCAATCTCACTTTTTAGACAAGATTAACCTAACAACTAAAACTTGTGGAAAACCTATATCTCAGGTATTTAGTAAATGTGTAGAAACACATTTTCAGAATTGCCAACTCTTTAAATCCATTTAACGTTCTGTATTAACTACTTAAGCCACCGGTGTCCAAAATGGCCCTTAGAGTAATTTTGTGCGACCCCCAGCTGCAGTTTAAGAACGGTATCATTTTTATCAGCAGGTTAAGAGGTCGATGCAGACTTTCTGCAAATTAGTTGGTAATCCTTTTTTATATAATGTTTAGGTTTAACAGCAAAATGGAGGAAAAAATATTTTCTCAAAATGCGCAATATTAAACAAAATACAAACTTTGGCTATAATCGTTTTTTTTTTCACTTCATGGTGCAAAACACCAAAAACTTTTATTGATTTCTACCAGAAAGGAAACTTTTGGATAATGATTCATATATCTTGTCTAATTATTATTATTATTATATTAAAAATATTATATTCCTTAGATAGAGAACTTTACTAAATAGCTTTTCTATGTATGTGAATGTTCTTGTAAAGTGCCCTGAGACAACTTTGTTGTGATATGGCGCTATATAAATAAACTGAATTGAATTGAAAATTGATAAAATAATCAAGAGGGAAGTTGGACATTTTTAAATGAATACAACGTGGTATCATCTACATACAAGTTGATCAACTTTATCAAACTTTCTTTGAATCTGTTATAGCAACTGACAGCTGGATGATTTTTCTGAACTTCAATCAGCCTTTTGGGCCGTCTATGGTCCAGCAGGTTGATCGATCCCCTTTTAAAATAATTCTTACTCGAATTACTCTTTTGTTGCAGAGAACAGACTAAAACGAACTTTCCAAACACAAGAAAACAACAAACATAGACCCAACAAATCAAAT